AAAACATTCCCTTTTAAAATTTCCAATAAATTCCTTTTTAAATTATTGAGTTCTCAATTATTTGGGACAAAATAAGGTAAGATTACACTATTAAATAACTTGTTTCTAATAATGGGAATTTGCGATTGTAGTAATTAAAAAGAAAAATCAGAATTTATAATCTTTAAAATGATGAGTCATTAGAACAAAAAATTTTGATGTAAGAATGAGTTGATTCAAGATATTTTTGTGATTTCATGAAAGAAAATAGGTCATTTATTAATCAGAAAAAAATCAAATGAACTAAAGTCTGAGAGTTTATATAATATAATAATAGTGTTTAGTATCTTGTCCGCTTTAGATGATGTTTAATAATATGGATTTGTATTTTTCTCAATCATATCAAATATACTCTTCTTTTTTATTGGTCAAGCCATAGCAAATCTTAATCATGCATATCTATGATACACTTAAGAAATTATTGAAAACTTAATTCATTTAATTCTTTAGAATTATGTAATTCCGACCAGAGATGATCGATTTTATAAACATCCACGCAATTCTAAAAATATAAGTAAAACTAAACTACTTTATCATGTCTTAATCTTATTAATTTGTGAATTTCCTTGCATGAATTTCTACTTGGATTTTCATATGTCGCTTCATTAAGAAAATGTTAAAAAATTTTAGCCTCATTTAATTCGTCATCTTGTTGAAAAGATTTCTATTAATCCTCAGCTTTAAGAGTCTAAAAAATTCCAACTTCATTTTAATGATTTTGATCTTTACTATATGAAATATTCTCTTCAAACTTAATTTGATTCCAATCCTATGCAAATTCTTCTAGTTTATCTATATTATAAGTTAATCTTTAAATCTCTTTCTTATTCTTTTTTTGAATTACACAATTTTTAATTATTTCATTGTCATTTGAAAAAAAGCTATAACACATTACAGAATCTTAGTCATGTGATTCATCCTGTAAAATTTTACATAAATTTTCATTTTTTTATGATATTTCTTCATTCCATAATTCATGATTATTCCAATCTAATTATAACCTTAATTCTGATCTCGCTTATAATGCAATCATGTCAAGAATAAAATTTTATTGCATTAAATTCTAAGATTGCAGTTTGTTGTTTTCATTTTATTTTGAGCTCTTATCATCCATCTATGCTCTTTAAAATACATTTTTATTTCCATTTTCCAATACATATTCATCTATAAGTATATCACTAAAAACTTCTTATTTTTTTAATTTCTGGGATATACATTTCTTTGATGTTTTTTTATTTGTTCCTTTATCAATTTATTTGATGTATTTAGCATTTTTCTTATTCCCATTTTACTTTTCTAAGGGTTAAATCACCTTTGGAAATTCTAGTTTTAAAGTTATTACCTATCTTCGAGTTCTCTACGAGATTGTATTTTAGACTGCATTTACTAAATTATCAAGGTCTTCAACAGGAAGTGTTTAACCTTTTCTCAAGTTTTATTTGGCTTTGCTCATTTGAGTTTAATTTAATACTCAGTTTCTAAAGTATTCAAAAATTTAGCATAATTATTATTAAATATGATCAAGATTGCTTATTTAATTGATTTTATTTTTAGAAATTTATGATAAAAAACCAAACAAAGTTAATGAAAAAAACTAATTGTTACTCAATTGAATAATACTCTTATTACCTCTCATAAACTTAATGTCATTCATACATTTAATAAAATTGATGTTGATTATAATCTTTTACTACTAAATTAAGAGGCTAAATTTTTATCAGGATGCTAATATTATTGAAGGATCTTTAATCAGTTTTATAAATCAATCATACAGTCTTGTTAAAACGCCTTTTAATATGAATTAACATAATTTTTTAATAAAAGCTGAAAATATAATCTCATAACAAATTCAAGTTAGAAGAAATAATTAAAATTATTAAATTGATTTTAGTTTAGTTTATCAATCTCTAATTCTAATTAAATTTAGTATGAAGATTAACAAAGTTCAATCTCGAATATCAATACAAGGTCTTATAATATAATACAACTCAAAGATATATTAAGATTATATTCTATACCTATTTAATTGACTCAATATTTGCTTTACATTTCAAAAACCTAAGATTGCGAAAAATAATGTTTCTGTATCGATGTTTTCTATTTTAAAACAAAGTAGCTGTCTTCTTCACAATGTTGTTTTTGTTTCAAATTAAATTAATTTTTGAATTATCTGTTTTAGAAATATAACCTCTTTAAACCTATAAGTAAAGCATAATTTTTGTTTTACATTCTTAACTATCACTATATGTAGCATTTTATTCGAAATAAATCTTATTTACAATATTATTCAAAATTCATGCTATTTAAGACACATTCTTCAATACATTTTTAATTCCAATTTGTTTAGGTTATGCCACAACATCTCTATAGGGTTCATTTGAGGAGAATTGGGAGGTAGAAATGTTATATTCACTTCGGGAATTTTTTTTTAATTCTTGTGTTTCTATGAATTGGATTATTATCTAGGATGAATACATAACCATTATTCTCTTGAGAAGCTAATAGATCTGTATTTCCAATTGCACCAAGATTCGTTTTTTTATTAGCAACTTCTTCAAATCTTTTTTAGCATGAGTTACAGCATTTTGTGGGTTTTCTATTATGACATAAATATGTTTCATCAAAATAAAAAGTTAACTCTAAATTTTTTAATTTATAAAATATTCTTTGCTTTTATTGTTTTCTTAGAACAATGTATCTATTGAGATTCTGCCCATTTAGAGACCAAGAATTAATAATTTTTTGAATATCATTTTAAAAAGATATATAATATTTTTCAAATTTAAGAACAAATCATATTATTCGTATGAATTTAGTTTTAAATGTATCAATTTTAGAAATAATTTATTAGTATTTAAATATTAGAATATTGTTTTTTTAATCAAACAATCATAAAGTATAATTCAATTTTCTTTGTTTATATTTATTTTATAAATTATGATCACTTAATTAATTATTTATAGATAATATTTATAAATATTTTTATAAAATATCCAATATTTTTTGATTCTAAAAATTATTCAAATGGGGTATTATCTTTATCAAAAACTTTTAATTTAAGGGAAACAATAATTTTGCAATTTTTCTTTTTATTTAAGCGTTTTAATTAACAAAAGACTTTTACATAGATATATTCTAGAATATATTTGTCATATATCTGTTAATATTTGGATTAGTGATTCGCTCAATTTATCAATTGATTTGAATTATCATCCAATTTTTCAACCTGATAATTGTTATAATTACATTGAATAATTTAATATTGTGTAACATTTTGAGGATGAATATTGTTGTTTTAAATTTAACATTCTACACTTAGAATCATTTTTATAATATAAATAGATACTGATGCATATCAACAAAAATCAATTAAAAATTCTTATTCCTAAATTCTCTTAGATCAATTGGTCGTATTATTATTTTCTATCCAATATGATTTGTGTAAATTTGGTTTATCCTTATTTGTGCTTCTTAGCTTCATCAGATGACAGCAGAATTACATTTTTAGGGGTAATATCCTGCGATTTATCAAATTATATAAATTCTAAAGGTCTTGCTTTTTTGTCTTTTAATTAATGATATAAATATACCTTTCACTAAGCATTAACCATTATATGCTTTATAAATAACAACTAGATCCTCAATATCTAAATTTAGGTCGACATTGCTTTTTTTAGCTTGTTGAGCTAGCAATTAAATCTATTGAATAAAATAAGGCATTTTAATATCATTTTAGCATAGAGTGGTTGGAGCACAATCTCCAAGATCGCATAAGACATATGCAGCTAATGAATAGGCAAATAATGCTGGCATACATCCAAAAACTGGTACTATTCTTAATCTATAATTAGGCATGACTCTATATTTGTCTGGATCATGTTTTTAATGTCTATAAATAATCATCAATAATGATACTCTTATAATGGTAATAATTATCTATCTGTAGTTTCAGTTGAATATACAACATTAAATCCAGTTTTTATATCTACTTTTTTGAGTCTCATTCTTATTGCTCTTGCTAAATCATCATTTTATGATTCACTAATATCTCGTATTTATAATCTTGTTGGATCACATTTCATTCCAGCTCCACAGCAAACAATGATTTTAATTTTATTTTAAACACAATAGGTAATTAAAGCAACTTTTGCATCAATATTGTCTATGCAATCGATTACATAATCAGGTTTGTCTTCTGCAAAAAAGCTTGCAATATTTTCAGGTGTTATGTAAGATTCAACTGTTGTTAATTTAATAGTTGGATTTAACTATGCAATAAAATCAGAAAATATCTCAACTTTAGATTTACCGACATCTTTCCTAGTAGCTATAGCATGCCTGTTTAAGGATGATAGAGTAACTCTATCAAAATCAATAATTGTAATCCTTTTCACCCCAGAACGAGCTATGGCAGAAACTACATGACTCCCTACTCCACCAACACCAAAGACCATTATATGAGCAGTTTCGATTTTTGATTGCGATTCACCAAAAAATTAAATATTTCTAACTAATTATTCTTATAAGAGCTGCTATTCTTCTTCTAAAGAATAATCCTTCTTTTTTATCTGGTTATTTTTTTAATTTCTCAATTGATATAATTTTTAAGCCAGCAAAGTCAGTGATATGCCTCCAACCAATCCTGAAAATAAGAGCTTTTTTGTTTTCATAATTAAATAATTAAATTCAATTTAATAATAACTCATTAGAATTTGACAAAAAGGATTGATAAGAATATTCATCTTAATCAATATTTTGCTCTCTACAATATTTTTATAGCTGTTTGGTTAGAGCTTTTCTTTCTGATCTTCTTTTTACAAATTAATATAATTTTCTAAATTGTACAGTGTCTAATTTTTCTATATCAAATTGATATTCTCCTTAAGTCTTTACATTTAAATATTTTAAGATTTATCTTAATGAACTTGCAGAGAGCTTGCTTAATTTTTCATACAAATCCTTCTTTTCCTAATCACTTTAAGGTTGTTTATGTTTGATAACAATTTTGTTTTTGATTTCTCCATTCAATAATTGTTGTAAATGTTTTTGCATCTACTCTTAACATTTTTTCTAGAGTGGTTCAAATAAAATTTTAAATTTTTATTCTAGTTCCTCAACTAATTTCATAGATTCTGAATGTGTCGATAAAATTTTACTTCTGCTAAATAATGAGGTTAGATCTTTATAAAATCTGGCTATGATGTTTGTCCTATTTTATAATTCATTATGATTTACATTTTGACTAATTATTCATTTTTCATTTTTTTATATTATTCATCATTTTTCATGAATTACCTTGTAAATTATTTATTGAATGTAATTGTCATCTCCTTATTTGTCAGTTACTTATATTAGTCTGTTCTTTTTAAATCATCAAGGATTTTTACGCATTTATTTCTTTCTTCATCTTGGATTGGATTAAGGCCATCACTATCTTATCTTTATTCACCTTTCTAATTATTAAATTGATTATTACTCTCATTAAATAGTAATCAAATGGCAATCTAGTTTTAATATAGGCCAACTACTCTTTTGTAAGTTCAATAATCATTGTTTAAATTTGGAAAATTAATTTATATAAAAATTATTGTCTCATTATGCTACACTCATACTATATTCCAATTTTTGATTGAAAAATTCAATGCATTTGTATTTTATTGAGAGTAAAAATTCATAAATTTTTGGAATCAACTCTTCTACTCAAATACTCAAAACTTAAATCAGGACCTAATGATTCTGTATTTCCTATCAAAGTTTTGGCTCTTTCTTATTTAACAGATTTCTTGAATTAAATGGAGCTTAAAAACACTGCAATAACTTAATCCTCAATAATGATAGGGTGAAGTAAGACCGGTAATATGGAATCGCTATCAATTGTTTCATTCAAATTCCATACATTTTCTAGTGTTCACTAATGATATTAAATTTATCAATCTTTTTCTTTCACAAATCAATTTTGCAATTCCTTTTCATTTAAAGTTGATTTGCTTGGTTTTAATAATAAAGGTCTACATAAAAAAGTCGGTATTTACCTTTTTAACTGTAAAATGATCGGTATATTAAGGGCAGATCCTTTTGAATATCACTTATCATGATTTGTATCACCCCAGTGATAATCGATTGTTTTTAAAGGTTATCGGTAAATTCAATTTTCAAAGCATTAATTCTATAACCCAAATTATCAAAATGATAGTATCTAATCTAATTAATATTTGATTTTGATCTTTTATATGTAATCAAAGGAATTAATTTCTACTCTTTCAGAAGTAAGGTTTGCCGTTTCTATCACTAAAATCTTCTTCTTTTTCAGATTTTTTATTCAATGTATTGATTTTTCATAGAGTAATTTAATTTTCTTCATAAAATTTTGCTTTATCCTAACTCAGTTAAGGATTTTTCTAATACCCGAATGATATGTGATCTTAATTTTAAAGAATTCATAAGATTCTTATTTTTAATATTCTTAATATTTTCGATAGGTTCAAAGACTTTATTTTAAGGACAATTTATCAATTATTACAATTAATTAAATAATTTCATCTTTTAAAAACAAATTAGATTGTGTATAATAGTTTATTGATTTTAAGAGGATTAAAATAAATTATAATTTTAATAATTACACATGCTCATTTCATTCATATACATATTCATACTCATATTCACCATCTCCTTATTCTTCTTGAGTTTATTATTATTCCTACTCTGCAATAATGTTTTCAAGGTATTCTTTAAATTGTTAACTGGATTGTGTGAACTCTTTTGCAAATTAGTCATCTTCAACTGCAGCCATTTGATTTTAATAATTTAAGATTACCTACTCACTCAATATTTAATGCTTGTAAGACAATTATAAGAATTAGTTCAAATGATACTGCTAATTCTATCTACAAAATGTTTCTATTGATTTAATGTAACACACAACCTCTGTTTCACTTACAAACCTAACAATAAATTCCTCCCATAAAGCATATGCATTTTTAAGGGAATCAATATCTGGTTAGAGAGTATCCAAAAATGCTGCCATAAATGCTATAACAATATTCTCAAAAGCAATATTAGAATTAACTTTAATTGTATCTACATTAATTATAGCTTGCCTAACTTAACTCACAGTTTAACATTTGGCGACAATATCTATCATATCTTCTTTTAATCCTTAATCATCATTTTCTTTTGGTTTTTTTTGATGCAATTCATGTGAATCAGATTCTTAATCAGAATCCTCAGACTGAAAAGCGTTTTCATCGTATTTTTAAAAGTTTGACAATTATTTTACATTTTTTTGATTCTCCATTGTTACAATTTGTGATTGAATTGAACCTTTTATTTTACACCCTGAGGCAACTATACAATCTTTAATAATAATATTATCGTCAACTTCAATATTATCCCATAAGATACTATTGATAATTTCACAACCGATTCCTAATTTGCAATTTTTGCCAATTATTGATTTTGTAATAGTGACCTTTGGTTTAACATCTGTGTTTTATCCAATAAAACATTAATCGCTAATTTTAGATTTCTAGTCAACTCTACCAGCAAAATATTTAAAAAAGTCAACGTAATACTATTATTAAGGACAATAAGGAAAAAAGAATCTACTTAAATATTTAAGACAAGCATTATGGTATGATTGGGGATGGAATATTCTTTAACATACTTGGGTTTTAGGAGCAATATATAAATGTATCTTTTCTTCCTGGATATCGCTAGTAGTTGTCATGTATTTAATAAAGTCTTCTTTGATTTCTGCCCACATAAAATTTTCTTGGAAACTCTTGAGGACGTCTCGGTTACAAATATAGATTCCAGATTCAATAAGATTACTCCTAATCACGTATTTGCAAGGCATTCCCTTAGTCAATGTTATGTGTTCTTGATAAAATGATAAAATATACTTTTGTTAAATTTGATTTATTTTTATTGTAAATCTATCAATTAGAAGAGTTTATCATCATTTTCCAAAACGTAAAGAAATCTTTCTTCTTCATATTATTATATTCCTTAATGAGCAACCATCAATAAGATGTTCATTTTATCTTCTTTTCTTTAATCGTGATATTTATTGATAGCATCTTTTAAAGAAATATTTGTTATCACATCACCAAATAATAATAAAAAATCTTATTGAATAATTCCGTGACTGTATAGCTCTCTTAATGCATCTCCAGAACTTTTGCTATCTAAAATATTAATCAATTAAATATTTTATGTCTTCCTTCCAAGTCTCTTTCTATTATTAAAATATTCTGCAATCTTTTCATTTCTATAAAGTATAATAATTTGATCAATTTCATTTTTTGATAACCAATTTATTTAATGTTCAATAATTAAATCATCTACAAATGGGAATAAACTCTATAAGTAAAAATATTTATTACTTTTGGCAAGGTGTTTGTTAGATGATTAAATTAGTTGTCATAATTATCAGCAAGGATAACAGCGTAAAACTCAGACATTATTTTATTTATTAAAGAATTTAAATACAGACAAGAATCACTTATATATATATTTTTTAATTAATTAAATTGATGAGTAAACAAGACGAGGAATCAAAATTATAATTAATAGAATCCGCTTTTGAATGCAATATATGTTTAGAGATAGCTACAGAACCAATCCTTACAAATTGTGGACATCTATTTTGTTGGCCTTGCATCTATAGTGTATATATATAGAAATGATTAATCAGTGGCTCAATTCAAATCAAGAATTTCTAACTTGCCCTGTTTGTAAGAATGGTTGCTCTAAGAATTCTCTAATTCCATTGTATTCGAAGGATGAAGCAAAAACTAAGTATTTTCAATCGAATAAATTAGTAAACCACGCGATCCTAATATTCCTCCTAGACCTAAACCAGGTAGAAATGATCCTGTTAGAAACAACAACCAAATTGGTTAAAATAACTTAGCCAATGGAGCCATGATTGCAGGGTATGGATTGTTTCCATCTCTATTTAATTTAATTTGTATTAAAGATGGAGATATAGAAAAAGATGAAAGGCATGAAAGTAATTATTGAGTAGGATATTTTTAGATGAAGCGACTGTTGAAATCGAAAATGTGAGAAAATTAAAGGCTATTTAGTTTTTGTTGATTTTATGCTTAATTATGATGATTGTATTCTACTTTTGATCAATCAAATCTATTAATATCATTCAATAATTTATAACTATTTATTTGAAGACTATCAAATTTACAATCATTCAGTAATATAAACTTAAAGAATTCAAAATAAATGTTTTTTCAAAGAAAGATTGTCTGAACTTTTTCTAGACCAACTACAAAAAGTTTATAATCTCTAATTTTAATGTTATCTAGTATTTGAAATACATCTAGTCTAGCTAATTAAATTTATATAATTATTCGTATTGTCATTTTCTTAATATTTCTCTTAAGTTGTAATAAACCTCCTTCTTCTGCTTTATTAATCGGGTTTACGCATTTGTTTCACATTCAACTATTTAATATTGATAATTAGAGGAGGATAGTCTATTGAAGACGGATTCATCATTTTTGGAAATTTATCATGTTTTGTTTTAAAATAATTAATTTTAGTGAGATTGTTATTAATTATTGCTCTTTGTTCTTATTCCATAAATTTTATTTATTATGTCTTATTTAGATTTTATTATAAAATCAGGTCTTCAGTCTTATTACACTCTATAAAATTAAATTAATTGAGGATATTTTCAATAGTATTGTTTACTTTTTATGGAGTGAGTTCTTTTTATTTCCTTGACTCAATCAATAATTTGCAATTTAAACGATATTTATTAACATTTTGCATCTTATTTTTGTTAATTTCAATATTTTATTAAATAAACTTTTTCTTTTCATAACCTAATCAAATCTCAAGAGAACTAAATTTATATATAAATTAGCGAATATTCATAAATTGTCATTATATAGATATAGCAGGCTTCACTTATTTTGACTTTAGAGTTTATCTAAAATAATTATATTAAATCATTTTGAGAATCTCAAACAAAATCAAAATACAAATTTATTGGTAATAAAATATTAATATTTTTATCAATACTAATTTTTGTAATTTATAGATTAGCTTAAGAAAGAATATTTTTTTAAACATCTATCAATATAATCGTTTTTTAAAGGATTATATCTTGAAGAAAATATTACAATTGTTTTTTTTCCCCTATTTAAATTTTTATTTAAATTATCATAACTGATTATTTTTTCATCCTAAGATGCTATTTTTTTACATACTGATATTGATCGACTATGATTTGTTAATCCAACATTAAATTTGCCTTTATTTAAAATAACTCTTTTATTTTAGTCATTATTTGTTGTTTAAATTTATTCTTATATCTTTTTTCGAAAAATGAATGGAAATATTGAATCCTTATATGTTGATTCATTATTTGACAATTCTTACTCTTAACACTTCAAATTCAAACCATTTTTCTTGGCCTTCTCTTATATGTTAAACTATTTATTATTTTCATTCATCTTCTTTTATCTCAGTTGATAAAATAATTGCAGTCTATAATAATTTTCACACATTTATGTATTTAATTTTATTGCTCAATATTATTTGAATAATATCAAATATATTTTTTGTAAATTTAAGAAGAAATTAAAAATACAATTTTATTCTAAAATTTTGAAAGTATAGCTATGTTTATGTTATTCAATATCAGATTGCTAGAATTGATAATTTATTTATCATAAAATATATACTAAATTGATATCCATTTTAATATAATCATTATTAAATAGAACCATTTTCAATTGCACTTTATTCCGAAATCTCACTATCTTCAAGAAAACCGGATAAGTTTTTCAATTAGGCAAAAGTTTCTAAATTATTTTACAAATTGACCAAAGCCTTTGTTAAGCTTTCATTTTTGTATTCTAATTGTTGCTACAATTATTAAAATTTTTACATTCTTCTACTTCTAATATGAAATCTAAATCTCACCTTCTTAATATACTCTCTTGACTAACTATTTTAGATCTTAAATCTAAAATTATTAGAATTAATTTACCTCATTAATTAATTCCTGGTGTTTGTTTTCTAATTTATTTAGCTATGATTAAAGATCCGTATTTTCATTTTTCAACTTAGCATTCTCCATTTAAAGGGATTTCTCTTTTTATTAAAATGAAATTGGCATATTCGATAATGCTTAGAGAATCAATTATTGCTTTTAATATTGCCATATGCCTTACATTAGCGAGTGACAATTCTTCTTGATGGTCAGAAGCTTCATGACTATAGGCATAAGTTAACATAATTAAAATATTATTAAGAGCTTTTTAATTAAAAAATGAATTAATTATTGAGAATTAAGTTAATTCATAAGATAGATAGTTAATCTTTGTCCAGGAGAAAAATATGCCTTCTAAATAATTATACCTAAAAAATTAATGACACCAATTTTTGTTCTATTATAACCTACAAGGAATTTTACTATTTAATTAAATTGAATAAATAAATTGATAAGAATTTAGAATTAAAACTTCATTTGTTGATTTGAGAGTTAAATAGGCTAATAATTTACAGAACTATATATATATTCTTTTGAAGAATTGAAATATCTATAGACGTTGAATCAAAGTAATAGAATCTAAAGAATGATAATTATAGAAAAAAACCTCATAATTCTTATGGGTCATGAGGAAAACGTAGGCTATGAATAATTTGTCAGAGGACTTATATTATCAATATATAAGATCAAAAAAATCAGAACTACGATGAAACATATCTTAGTTAAATTTTCAGTTTATTGTTGCTTCAAACTAACATTCCGTATTCATAATTTAGTGTTTACATTTCAGTTTAGCATTTAAGAAGCAAGATTAAAGAGTAATTAATATTTAAATATAAGTAAAATTTATATCAAAAGGTTGTCAACTTATAGTATTTCACTTCTTAACTGAGTTGGTAATTAATAAGGTAAAACCTTAATCCTTAGAAATGAATTTTGTATCAAGACTTGTGTGGCAATGTTTGAAACTATTAAATCAACTTTATCAAGGACTTATACTTGGAATATAGATCAATAGTATTTTCGAAAAATTTGGAGTTATTAAAGAAATTTTATGTTTAAAATAATGTCATAGCTTATTATTTTTCCTATTCTTTAGTTGGTTTCCATCCTCAATTTTCTTTTTTTATTGCAGCACAACTTAATATTATAATATTTTTTTAGGTATTTTTATTAAGTTATTATAATAGTCAGATAAAAAGCAAAGTATTTTTAGAATATTCTAATAAAACAAACCGTCAGCTTTGGATTTATTGGGAATAAGTTAAATGTATTAATAAATTAATATTTTATTATAATGTTACTTCACATATTCTTGGTTATATAATTGATGCACTCTTTTTAATCTGATGGCAAGAGGATGAATTATTATTTACAATTATTCAAGCAATAGTAAAACAATAGACTTTCTGGCTTATATATAGAAATCTTGTCTTTTTCATACTTAAAGATACTTTTTATTAGTCTTTCACTTTCTTCTGATAGCTTTTGCTGATTTTAATTAAGCGATTTTAGTTTCTAGAGCTTTTCCTCACTGATTAAGCATTCATAATTAATTCTAATATCATTTAATTCATACATAGCCTCTTGAATATACTATTTTATGACATCAATAGTTTTTATGCCTCTCTAGCTAATTTGGCTTTGTGAACAATATTCGGTTTACACTCTCTCTCTCTAAGTTTAAGGGTCTTAATTTTTTTTCTGCAAGATAGCGTTAGGGCTAGTATTTTTTATTAAAGTTTTACATCTGACTTTCGGTGAATGATGATTTAATATTTACAGAAGCATTCAAAAAATTTTAGGCTTAAGTTGTTGTTCGAAATTTCTAATTATCTTTTTGATTAATTATCTTAGCATTAAAATTTGTTTCCGTACGGTCACAA